CCCACGCACTTCAGTGTCGAACCTTTCTCATAGGGTCACTGCGAGGGTTAAATTAGCTAAAGTGCTTCGGACAGTGCCTGGTCTGCAGGAAGTGCTGCCTCAGTGCCCACCCAAGCCCCGACAGAGGAAGCTCAGAGAGGAAAGCGACCTCCTCAGGTCACAAGGCAGGGAGCACAGGCAGATCAGAGCCCCAAGCCTTGACCCCAAGCCCCTTCCCTGGCCTCTTCTTTCACACCCACAGGCCTGTGCGCCCCCCAGCTCCACCACACCCCTCCCCACTGGCCACCCTCACCCAACCGAGGCTCTGTGGGGAATTATTCCTCCAGGCTCTGAGGAATGTTCCTTTCTCTTCACTTGCCATCTAGATGACTCCATTTTCAATCCAGCTTCCCAATGGCCTCCAAGAGGAGCCCTGATTAATTTCCCATAAAACCACAGGCAAAATTGCTCCATCAGTGGTGTGCACCTCCCTCTCCAGGGAGGCCTGGCGTCCTGATGGCCATCTGTCACCTCCAGAGCACGTCACCCATCACCCACAGCTGTCATCAGCTCTGAAGGGTCCTGAGCCCTCTGTCCCGACACCCTCCATCAGCCACTGGCCCCACCCCACCCCTGACTCCCGGGGTCAAGAAGACAAGCCTGTGTCATCCAGTCACAGCCCAGCTTGCTCTCGTATCGCGTTGGCCAGTTCAGGAGCCAGCCAGAGCCTTGCCCAGAATTGCTCAGCTGGGGTGGCAGAGCCAGGCCTGGGCCTCGGGGTTTCCATCTCAAAATCTTGGCCCTGGGCGGCAAAGCAGGTGGCAGGGAGAGAAAAGGCCTGCAGACACGTGCTGGGCAATCACGACTTACTGCCCCAGCCTCCCTCCCCTCACTCCCTCCCCGTCCCAAAGCCTGCACCAGGCAATGTTTCATTTCTGGGAGGTTCCTGCACTTGGTCTGAATTGGATCCAGGTTAGTGCCATCTGTTGCCTCTGGCTAAGGGGTGTGGGTGTGACCCTGCCCAGAAACAGTCATCTATTAGAGAAACCTGTGGCCCAAACGCTCTGGGGTGGTTCACTCTGCAAGCCTAGTGACCTGACACTGCTTTGAGCTGCTGTGTGGAAGGAGCTTACTGCTAAGGTCACAGGCTGAGGCCACAGCCTCTGGCTACCTGGAGGAGAAATTGTCATTTCAAGAATCATTCACCCATGGATTCCCCATGTAGCAACCCACTTCCCGGAAGGAAGGAAGGAAGGAAGGAAGGAAGGAAGGAAGGGGTCTCAGCTGGACTAATTGTCCCTCAAATCTGTTCTCCCTCTTCTTCCACAGTGACAAAGCTCGCACATTGTAGCTGGGCACATGGCTGCCCAGAACAGAAAGCACATTCCCCGACTCCCTTGCAGCTCAGTTTGGGACTCAGTCCCGGCCGTGGACAGAGCATCGTGGTGTGGCTTCCAGGGCCTTTCCTTACAGATAACTAAGGCTGTTTCCCCTTGCTTCCTTTTCCTTAGCGCCTCCCCACCCTTATGTCTAGATCTTGGATGTGACGGCTGGAGTCTCAGCAGCACCACTGTGGACCAGGAGGCCCACATCACAGAACAATCAGCTGGAAGAAGTCTGGGTTCTCCCTCTGGGCTTTTCCATGACATGGAAACGAAGTCCCATCTGATTTAAGCCACCGTTACTTCCGGTCTCTGTTGCTACGGCAACCCTAGCACTAACCAAATGGGCAAATGTTAGCCGGTCCGAGACAGAGAAAGGACCCCGCCTCCCCTCCAGGCTCTGGATTAGAAGAGGGTGAGGTCTGGGAGCATGGAACCGAGATGGCACCCAGGTAGTCTGACGGGGAGCCAGGGGCTCCAGACAGCAGGCCTCCCCTGTCTGCACAGCTGATGCTGAACGCTGCACGTTGAGACAGAAGGCCTGCCTGGGCGTGGACCCCTCACTCCCGCCCCGTCACTGTTGCCACACCCACCCTCACTGAGCAGGCAGCCCTGGTCACCTCCCCTAGCAGCCTCCCCGGGTCTGTCCCTGCAGCAGCCCAGGCTCTCCGAGGCAGAGAGAGCCACCTCAGCTGAAGGACAGGACACCTCAAGGAGGTCTCCACCCAGCCCCTTCTTCCCACGCAGAAAGTGTCACTTGGACTGCTCTAATTGCCTGAGGAGCTTACAGGGTAATCACGGCCATTTACAGTACGCTTAACAGGCTGCCTCCAGGAATAGCAGGAGTGGGGCGGAGGAGTGCCGGGGATGTGCCTCCCAGAGAAGGTTCTCTGCCTCTGCAGGGAGGAGGAGCCTCCACTCCGGGAGGATGGAAGGTGGGAGCCCGCAGTGCTTCCACAAGAACAGCCGTGGGGGGATGGGGGCAGGAAAAGGCTCCAGGAAATCCCAGCTTCTGCCCACCCTCCTGGAAGAATGCCAGCCCAGCTCAGTGTGCACGATAAGGAAAATCCAGGGCGCAGCGGTCATGGCCCACCCACAAAACAATTCCTGCTGGCCTAGGACCAAGCCTGCCTGGAGGGTTTGGTCAACACGTTCTTGCTGGCCATGGAGGGGGCTTCCCCACCCCCCAATCCTGCAGGCAGCTCCCGAGCTGATGACACCTGAGTTTGAGGTTTCTCGGACCCGGCAGCATGGGGTCTGATTCCCTCCCCACTGGGGGTCGGTCACCAGGCCCTCACACCTATGGCTCGGTGTGGGGCACCCTTACAACAGCATATAGGTAATGCCCATTAGAACCTGTCCCCGGGCCACACCTACACTGATCGCAGGTATATTCGAACCCTTCACTCACCAGCTCACACCCTTTCAATGGCTGCTCATGAGCGAGGTCCCCAACTGCACAAGGCATTCCAAGTCCCCCACGCCGACCCAGCGGTCTGCAGGCCACACACAAGCCCCCCACGCTGTGGCCCTCTCCCACTCTGCTCACACAACAGCCTGATCTGGGAGGCCCAGGCTGTCCCCCTCAGTCTCGCCCACCAAGGACAGCCCTACTTCTTGTGCACACTCACAGTCCAGGCCCAGGCTCACCCTTGACCCCAGCCCTGATTCTCCAGGCATGAACACTGAGAGAGACTCCAAGATCCAGTCCAGACGCTCCAGCCCCTGCTAGGGTAACGGGAGCTGTGTCAACAGCTGCCATTCCCGGTGACACCATGAGCCAGGACCCATGCTAAGTGCTCATCAGATGTCATCCCAATTAGCTCAACCCCAGACCCTGTGGATAAACCACTTATTACCAACATCTTACAGAAAACAAGCAGAGCTAGGTCAAGGGACTTGGTCAAGGCCACATGGCAACAAGAGCCCAGATTCAGATACAACCTCAGTCTGTCTCCCCCCAAAGCCTGTGTTCTTTGCTCTGAAAAAGCCGTCTCAGTGGTGACCTCCCTGACCCCATTAGAACACCTCACTCTTCTCATGGACTTGACACAAGACATGGCTGCTGACCTCAACTCCTCCCGCTAATTGGGCCTTCTCATCAGGACTGGAGTCATCTCCTGTCCCTTCACACAGTTGATATCCAATGCCCACAACTCCTGAGAAGAGGAGGATTTCCAGAAGCAAAGTTTAGCCACAATGTCCCTATGGATCTTCCTTCTCATCGGAGGGTTCTAGTGGGACCCAGGGAAACGATGCAAAGGGAAGGGAAATTGACATCATCACTGGCCATTCCAGGCCCAAGGGAAAACGGATGCTGGCATGCTGAGAGAGCCTGGCATTTGGGGGCCACCCAGGAAGCCCATGCTCTATGCCACCTGCTAAATGCCAGACACCCAGGGAAATAGGCCTCGAGACCCCCTCCAGGACAGCCACGTCCAACACCCAGCTCTTCCACAGGGCACGTTCCAACTCTCCTGGCCAAGGTCCATGACTGCTCCATACAAGGTGCTTGTCAGATCCAGGGCCCTCTGGCCATGAACATGTAAGTTAAGCTTAAGGGCTAGGAGCTAGGAGCCCGAGTTGGAGAGACCGGACTGGATGCTGGCTCTGCGACCCACAGGCTGTGTGATGTCAGTCCATCTGCTAAGCTCTCAGTCTCCACTACTGTCTGCAAAACAGAATGACCAAAGCCACCTTCATGAGCACTGGAAGAAGGAATGTAAGAAGGCATAACCTTGCAGACAGGCTGCCTCTGGTCCGGCAAAGCCCAAGTCCCCACCGGTTCCACCATCACACAAAACAACGACGGACCAAGTCACTAGGGTTCCGGGTTCAAGGCAGCCCAGACAGGCCCCACTCATGATCTGGATGGCAGGAACGGGGGCTATACGATGAATCTTCATACAGGCCCAGGACACAGGCAAAGCACTTTTCCTTAAAATTAAACCAGAACTCTCAGCAGGGAATGCTGGGACCAGGCAAAGAGAACTAAGTCACTGTTAACACGAATCTTTCCAAAAAAGCCCTTCTCACATAAATAAACACCTCAGGAAGGCAGTCCCACTTCTCTGGGGCTGCCCAGCCCAGGGAGGTGGGGAGAATGAGTCCTCAAGGACAAGAGGATGTGGCTGGCAGGAAAAGCTCCCGCAGCTAAGCGGGAGGCGCCTGTCCTCCAGAACAGAGCGTACCCCACGAGGTCCAGCCGCCACATTACACATCTCCATGTGTTTGATTAAAGGCCCTTCAATTTCTGTTTGTCTCCTTTGCCCGGTTACATAACTCCCCTTCCCCACCCGCTGCTCAGCTATTCTACACACACTCCTGCTCTCTAACCACTGTGTTATCGGGACACTTCATCGCCACTCTGTGGGTTTAAGACAACAAAACAAAACCGTCTTGAAGTGGTTGCAGCCACTCTCTCTCCCAATGAGCACCCTGGGGCTTTTCTTTCCTAACTCTGCTGGTCACAGGAGAGAAAAGGGCCCTCCCAAGAATGTGCGCCCCCACGGAATTCAACTGCTACCTGTCCCAAAGGGCCTAAAAAGATCAGACACTCCCCCGCCCGCCTCCCACCCCATGCAGTGGCCTCCCTGTGACGGCCACCTGCCACAGGCACCAAGCCACATGTGTCCGTACCTTTCATGTAGGCCTCGATCTTCCGGATGAGTTCATAGGACTTGGAGCGGTCAAGCAGGGTCCTGATGGCAGGAAGGGGGTCCAGGACAATGGTCTCAGGGTGCGCATCGATGTATTCCTGAAAGGAAAACACATCTCTTCTGGTTGGAGGTGGGGGACTGACGCTGACATGAGGCTTCCGCAAGATGCCATCCCACGTGCCCTTCCCTCATCCATCCCTCCCTTCCCCCTCCCTCCACCAGCCCTGCCTTCCGTCTGGGGGTCCACACAGTCTGGGGAAGCTGCCCCCACGCACTCAGCCACACCGAGATCACATGACATTGGTCAGACCAATCAGCATATTCCACCCCGGCCACTGGTTCAGGAGAGAACATGTGACCAGAGTCGATCCAATCAGAGGCAGGCTTGGAGTTCTCACTAGGAATGCTGGGACAAGACCATCGTCTTCCACACTGGGGAGAAGAGGAAGCACAGAGACTGTGCAGCGGGGAGCAGTCACCCTGAGATGCGAAGGCAAGGCCGGACAAAGCCAAAGCTCAGAAATGGAGCCCAAAGGGAGAAAAACAGAGCTGAGAAAAAGGAGCACAACCAGGTCCTGATCAGCCCGTCTGGCCCCTGGATAAAGCCTCACCTGAAACTAGATCTGCTCCGTGTGTGGACTGCACTCAAGGAGAGTGGCCCGGCACCCTGCTCTGATAAGGATTCTGAGGCAGGGCCAGCGAGAGCGGAACGCTCTCAGTAGAAGGTCTCAGTAGAAGGAATGAACGCATTCAGTAGAAGGTCTGCGTGAAGGCTTGTTGACCAACACACCACAGGGCAGCCACCTTGCCTCAAGTGCTCCCGACAACATGCTTCTTCAGTACCTACTAGCTTGAGGGTTAGACTCTGGGCATGCAAGCAAACTATGGCCAAACCGGCCTTCAAGGAAGTTACGGTCTCCTTGGGAGAAATGACGCTAATGCACGTGGGGAACAAGAAACTCTGACAGAATTCAACATGAAACTGAGCAAAATATTTCCAGGAAAGGGAAACAAGGATCCCGGCCCTGCCCCTTGTCACCTCCGTGACTACACAAGCCATGCCATAGCAGTGGGCCAGAGCAGCACATCAGACAGACACAGTAAATGAGACCATCCCTCTGGCCCCAAAACACTGCGTTTCTAAGGATAAAAACATGGAGTGCTGGAGTAACGAGAGAGGGGCTCCGAGAAAAGACTGGGTGTAAGGGAGGCCATTCACCAGCTGTTGTTATTGTCAGCTGCATTGTGTTCTCCTCCACAGATCTGTTCAAGTCCTACTAAGCCCTGGTGCTTGGGAGTGTGACCTTATTTGGAAATAGTGTCTTTACAGATGGAATCAAGCTAAAATGAGACCATACGGGATTAGGATGGCCCCTAATCCATTGACTGGTGTCTTTAAGATGAGGACAATTTGGACAGAAAGGCACACAGGGAGAAGACCATCAGACAAGAGAGACAGTGACTGAAGTCATGCAGCTACAAGGCAAGGCTGGCCAAGGACTACTGGCCACTGCCAGAAAGTAGGAGAAATGCGGGGTGCAGATTCTCTCTTGGTGCCTCCAGAAGGAACCAACCCCGCAGACACCTTGACTTCAGACTTCTAGCCTCCTTAACTGTGAGAGGGAAAAAAACAAACTCCCGTGTTTTAAGCCACCCAGTTTGTGGTACTTTGTCAAGGCCACCCCAGGGAATGAATACACCAGCTTAATTCATCCCCCTGCCCGCCCAGTCTACCAGATCCGTCTGCGAGGTCAGCAAAGGCCAAGAAACAAAGCCACAATGCTTCTTTTCAAGTAAGCCTTATCAACAAAAAAGAAAGCTCCATTTGGAATTACTCCCCCCCACCACCACTTTTTTTCTCAGTGAACCTATTTTGGTTCCTAGTAATCATTTTTAAGAGCTCTCAACACAAAGCCAGAGATTTATATCTCCTTCTCCTCTGAAATCGGCTCCCTCCCTTGTGTTTCCCACCAAAGTATCTGGTTATGGGCTCATTTGTGTCTTTTTCTTTGAATGTCTAAAAATTTTTTCTGTCCCTAAGGGGTGGCCAGTACATGTTTGTGAGGAGCCCTTCTTCCCATCCTCACACCCACGAACTTCCT